TGAAAACGAAACCTCAAATAAACAGTGTGATAAATTTCTCATCTACATTGTATTGTATCTTAATGCGGATAAAATCATGAATCATTTCCGACATCTCTACATTCCTTAAGTTGCCCCTTTTTTTTACACGTTAATTGTTATCTTATCCAGCTAATTTCCATTCTTCTGCTTAAACCCTTAGTTTCCCATTTCAATCTTCCTATTCAATCTTATTCTTGTACCAGTTCCGCTTTGTTTCCGATGCTTGAAAGCTCACTGTAAAACACGCCCATCCTCTAAGACACAAAGCAATACATTTTGAAATTACATGTCAAGAAGTTTGAAAAAGGAAACAGCTAAACGGGTTTTAAATAAAATACGCGTTACTATTCTTGGTAGTGCAAATTGTTTTTGTATTTCATTAATAAATTCCAAGAATTTGTTACAAGTTACTTTTTCTTTACATCTCACGCTGTTTCTCTTATTTCATTTCAATGCTATTATTTGTTCATTATATGTCTGAAAATGATTCGCTTGTTTGTTTTCAATGAATAAAATTCTCTATATCGTATTTACTCGCATACTTTTTGGACAGAGAGAGAGAGAGAGTCTTCGTTTTCCTAATTATGCTGTTAAAATATACACAACATGCGAGTGCACTGATGTAAAAATAGGTTTCACTGTTGTTAAATAAATATAATTGAAAGAAAATTTCGGAATCTTTACTGATTACTGATTGTTTATCAAGATTATCTTTTGCAACGGAACCAATTTATAACGATGTATGAAAAGCAGTTATAAATATACAAATCGATGATGCAAAATTTCATTAATGGAAACTAATAAACAAAACATCATTGGTTGAAGATATATCTTCAATTTACGGTATTGAATAATTCTGTTTGCGTCCTTTAATTTAATATCGAGTGCGAAATAATTTGCGCATGTTATGGAAATTTTTGGTTTTTGATTTTTAATTGACAGTGAATGAAATCGTATTTCTTTCTATATTACTTCATCGATTTGTTTCATCTGACGTATGACAAAATTTAAATTTGACAAAATTATTTATATATTTTTTTTATTAACCTGAAGTATTCCATTACAGTGTAATAATATTTGAAATGGGAGAACAAATAAATCGCTTCCGAGCAATCGCCATCACAGTTCGATGATTAATCAACGAATTATTTGAATAAGGTAAATGATGGAATTTTTTAAAAAATTCTTGAATTGATAAATTTGATGCAACAAATTTGTTTCAGCACGTTCTGATTGAAATTATTATAGGCGATAAAAACCAATTAAACGAGAATATCTTTAATGAATTTAATACTTTCTCATCAAAATATGCAAAATACGCATTTTTATGAAAACATGTAAGAAATTAGTTTTTCTAAAAATATTCACTAAAAAATATTCTAATTCAATTGAATTTTAAATGAAAAATGAAAAAGGTGGAGCAAAAATAAATTATGAATAAAATATGCAAATTTGATCAAAAAAAGTCATTTAATGTTTGATTAGAATGTGTGGAGAAAAATAAGATAGGATTGTGAGGATTTGTTTTTGCTTATAGATTAGATCTAATAAGCCCATCAAATGCAAGCATTGAAATAAATGCTGAATAAATTTTATGGAAAAATATTGTCTAAGATGTTCAATATCGATAAATCCCAATTGGTAATTGATTTAATGAAGTTTGAAATTCGAATGAAAACCAATTAAAAATGATAAATAATCATAAAATAAAAACAAACAAATGAATAAAACAATAAATTTTATTTCAAAATTAAATTTCACTAACCGAGCCAATTGTCCTTCACCCTCGGAAACACCGCGTTTGACGGACAGATCTCGAGCATTACCTACTTTCCAAGTGCCGAATGCTACCGATCTGTACTGTCGTCGTGTGTTATACCAACCGCCTCCAACATTATTGCTATTATCTTCAACACTTCGGCTGTTATTCATTGTTAAATTTCCTTTCTCGATTTGTTTCATTTTTGCAAACTGAAATTTTTAAAGTTTTCAATTCCAAGCTAAAATTATGTAGCTTATATAGTTTTGCAAAAATTATAAAGACGAAAGATAAAACGAAGATGAATTTATTGCAAAAGAATATTTATTTGAAAAATTTTGGACAAAAAATTAAAAGATGAAAATTAACATAATAGTAGTTTAAATTGATGAATTACTTTACATACCACATCCACTGCTATGCAAATTAGGTGATATTTTCAAACGTTTGACAAGTTTTTTGCCCTAAATTTAACCAAAATTTCATCGTTCGAATAAAAGTTGAATTTTTGAAACCTGAAAAATATATGCAAATAAAGCGATAGAATATTCGATGAAAATGTTAACGAACAAATGAACAGAAATTGACAAACT